CGTAGGACTTACGAAGTTTCGAGAATAGCTAGCCTGGGCAGGGTTGGGTTTCCTAGACTGGCGGCAAGTCTCCGTCATTGTATTCTCAGGCTGCGGCTGGAGGTAACTCGACCCGCCCGTATCTCACTAGTCTGTCTCACAGTCCCTGAACCACATTAATTTCCCTACCGCCAAGCCCTCTCTGCAGTGCTAAAGCCCTAAATAAAGCAAGTCTAGATTTCCTCAGGTTCTGAATCTCTGGTCTCCCTAGGGCTCCTTTTCAATATAAATGGGCTTGTTTGTTACTATCAAAATTATATATATTCAGAGACTAAGCCTTAGTCTAGTATCTCACTAGCTGTCAACAGAAATCTCGCGCCGACTTCTTGCGTGAAAGAAAAAAACTTTTGCAATGTTCTTCACTTCGTGAAACATGTATCGTGTGTTTTTAAGAATTATTAGTTAAATACATCGTTTTATCAGCAAAACGGGAAATGTATGATTTGTTTAAGGTTGATAACACGTATATGACCACATTTTATGTAATCTGAGAACCTTCACATCCTTCACATCCTTTCTATTTAGTCCAGAATTCTGTGTGCTGTTTATACATGGGGAAACTCCCAACAAAACTTCGGTCATACTGTGTGGTCTAATCATGCAGGAACGTTTGCCGAAATAATTAAACAATGTCATTATTACTTATTCCTTTTTAACTTACATATTAGACCCAGTATACCTTTTTTCACAAGTGCTCCCGGTTATAGTAACTTAGAGCAACCTGCTATATGTACTATATACATTGCAGAATACAGAGCGCATCAACGCCCACTTGGGTGATGTGTTACAGTATGTTTGATCGTAAGTGAACTATTACATGACGTCATGTACACTGGAACGTGTATCATGATTAATGCAGTATGCATCGTGCGTAACGAATCTCAATGTCATGTTTTCATCACTCTGTTTTGGAAACATTCGGCCACCGTGAAATTGCTGGAATATCGCTTGTAGCGACGTAAAACTAAATTCACTCACTTCGATTCCAGCATGACATTGGGTCAGTACTTCGTATGGAACCCATTCAGGTATTGCCCCGCCGCCGTGATACGGCCACAGAAGTACTTAAAGCTACAAAACCATACAAACGCATGCAGTGCACACAGAGAACACAACTATGAGGTACAGTATAACAAACGAAACCATTTATTTCATAACACAAAGAAACATTTATGCATACATAAATGTAAGTTTATGATAATATCATAAATACAAAGTATATTTGGGCTTACTTGCACACTTGGAGTGAAAGTATAACAATGCACAAGACATAATCCTCTACATGATCCTTATAACAACAGGGATAAGAAAATAATTACAAGATAAGAACAAACAAGAGGTAGACTATGTGTTGTCTTTATACACTTGAAAAAGTCACAAAAAAGCTTTTGAAATGAACTTATACGTGTTCTAAACAATGTGCTATTATTATATGTTTTGTTACTCATATATATATAAATAATTCATGATAGATCTTGTTTATGTAGTTTTTAGAATATTGGCACAGTTTCTGTATGGAACGTTTGCACAATAAATATTTTATCTATTATACCTGTACCTGTTAAAATGTTGAATATGATTTATGTATTCGTCTGTAACAGCAAGCGTACATCTAGACTAAGGCTTAGTCTCTGAATATATACTCAGCGTCATTAATGAAGGGTCAAGCTATTGGTGACACTATTTCTTAAAAGTTGTAAAATCTTCGTTTTTGTTTGAAATATATACAATGGACATGACTTTTTCAAAGTTGTAAAATCTTCGTATTTCTTTGAAATATATACAACTGAATGCTTTACAAACTGTCTTAACAGTATAAAAAACACATCAGGCCGTTGAAATGTCATTATTATATTCTTTAACGTCCGCTACATTCTGTTACACATGGCACAATCTTTATTCAAATTGTCAATATGGAAATCCACCTGCTACTTAATGTCAGTGATTTGCACGTGCAACTCGCTCTATCCATGGAAAGTGGAGGTCAGTACACATGCATAAATGCTTTTCACTGTTGAGGTTCTTGAGAGGGATATAGAAGTTGGTATTCAAGTATAAGACAAAATGTTAGGGATGTCAACTTCTTCTGTATTGCACACACAACGTTTCTGGGCTATTCCTTACCCCTTCGTCAGGTGAATGCTAAATAACAGATATACCGGAAATATATACTAGTAATGTACATGAAGCCAGAGTGATTTTAAGCATGTATATACAGTACAACCAGAAATTATTGAGAATTTTAAGATTGTAATTTTTTATATTTTTTTCACTCATTACTCCCGTATTAAATGGGAATATTAGCAGAACATAACTCCACATTCAAAGACAGGTGAACAGTTAGTATTTTGTCAAGTCACCATGGGCAGCAATGCAGGCTTCAATGCGGCGGGGCATACTACTGATCAAAGAAATTAGAAAGTCGTGGTCCATGCTGTCCCAATATCGGACCACCTCTTCTTTCATTTCAGCAATATTTGTCAGATTTTGCTTTTTTGACACTTTCCTTCATAAGTCCCAATACATTTTCTATTGGATTTAGGTCAGGGCTATAGTTTGGCCAATCTAATAATGTCATATTGTGGGTCCGAAACCAGGGATTTGGATGCTTTGAACAATGTTTTGGGTCGTTGTCCTGCTGGAAAATCCAAAAATTTCCATAGATCACGTCAGCAAATGGAAGTAAATGTCCCTCGAGAATATCTCTGTACCGCTCACTGTTCATATTCTCTTCAAATACACAGAGGGGCGTTGCCCCTAACACATATATGCCACCCTACACGTTAAATTTCGGACTGTACTTTGGGCGCTGATACAAAGTTTTTTTCAGTTTGATTGGTCCAAAATTTCAGTTTATTAGGAAACAGCCTCACAGAACTTTCATCTGAGAAAATCACATTGTCCCAGTTAAAATTTCTATGCTGTAAGCCCCAGTTCAACCTTCGCTCCTTTGTTCAGGTTTCATGATCGGTGATGGAATTCCTCGACTTTTCTGCCAACCTATTGCATGCAGCTCAGTTCTAATTGTCTCCTTACAGACAGCCACAGTCCCTCTATCAATCATATCCAGCCTTAAGTTTTCTAAACTCCTTCGTTTGTTTTTAGAAACAAGAATACTAAGCCGCCTCCTGTCACCGACAGTCAATTTTCTGGGCCTACCTGCGCCTCCCTGGTGCTCAATGCCATATCCATTTGCAATATTTTTCAAAACACGATAAACAGTGGACAAAGTAATGCCTGTTCTACTTTAAATCACTTTAGCTGATCTGATGTCCTTGTTATAATACTCTAAAATCAACTTCCTCTTCTCTCAATCATCCAAACTGAGGATCACTGAAAATGTCGTCTGCTAGCAAGTAAACAAAGGGTGATAACTCTTCACACACTAATGAAAAAGGATTAACGGAGTTGTCTCTCTTGAATGAAACCAAGCGCTTGATAGCTGTCAAGGTTGTTTATACTAGAAATACAATTAAACATATTCCTAAAATTCTCAATATTTTCTGGTCATACTATACAATAAATAGGGGATTATAAGATGAAAGAGACTAAAATATACTAGTCTAATAGGTGTACATTTTTTAACATTGCAGGGAAGGCTGCGCAGTTGGGGCAATAATGTGGTTCAGACACTGTCAGACATACTAGCGTACGGCGTAACGATGGCCTTACTGAGTGTTTTGGTTGTCCTATTGGACTAAAACAGGGCTGTATATTAAGCCTCATTCTATTTACTACTTCATCAATGAGTTGGCTGCCGATGATTTTGATATTTGTTGTAGAGGAGTACAATTACTCCCTCATTTACATCAACTGTTTCTTCTGATGATGTTACTTTTATGTGTGATCCAGTAAGTGGGTTACAAGCGCAACTTCATATTCTACATAACTACTGTTGAACATGGAAGTTAAATGCCAACCTTTCGGAAACAAAAACAAAGTTGATTATCGTAATGAACTTTTTGAAGTTGTTTCGTCATATCGGTACCTTGGACTGTTGATGACTCCATCATTAGAATTAACAACAGAAGTAACACATTTGGCGTTAAACGGGGGAAAAGGGCATTATATTAATGGATGTTTTCAATTTGGTTTTGACATAATGAAAAGTCAACTCAGAACATTTTCCCAGATATTTGCTTAAACATAAAAACCTATTTTGCTGTATGTACGCAAAATATGGGGCTATTAATGAATTCCTTGTTAAATAGATCTTATACAGTACGTATGAGAGAGTGGTTTATTCAGTTCCTATACTGCCTTTTATCATATTACAATGAACATTTGACTATCCGTCTGGAATCTGAAACAGAATAACATATACTGAAACATTCAGGAATTGCTATAGTACGACATGATGAGTACATGCTTGCATGAACACTTGCTTCAGTTTGCATTCTTCCTTTTCAGCCATGTTACTTTGACATAAAGGCAGAACATAGTATATCCAAGTAAACTTGAGTCCAAGGTTCAAGCATGACCTATATAATTTAGTATCTGGATTTCAACATAAGCCACAAATTCATAAGGCTTATAGTATCTAAATGAAGTGTCTGTGTGTTTAAGGGTGTCTAGCTTCGTCAAACTGGCATTTGCTCTCCCTTTCCTTTTTTAACCCAGATAACCCGTGAATATTCGGGTTGATCTTCAATAACCCATGCTTGCCAACTAAGTGGATCGGTTGGTCAGACTCGCTTACTTATTCATGTCATCGTGTCTCAATTGCGTTGATCGATGTTCATGCTGTTGATCACTGGATTGCCTGGTACAGACTCGATTATTTAATCACCGCCGCCATATAGCTGGCATATTGCTGAGTGCGGCGTAAATTTAAACTCACTCACTCACTCTAACTCACATACACATACCCACGTGTGGCACACTCATCCAGTCAAGAATTATACCTCCGAAATGCTTCCTGACATGAAAGAAAATGTAGTCTTCCACCACCTTCACAAAATACTCTGTAGTACAGCATCCGGAAGTACCAAATTTCTTTTGGTTATATCATACAGTCTGAAAATAGTATGACTATGCATGAAGTGTGTATATTCATGGTAGTGCATGCTGGAACTCTAGCTGGTAATTATGTACGAAACACTCATTCTTTATTAATCACTTGTTTCTTATTACTGACACCAACCATCATCATGAACAACACGTTAATTATTAATTTCACTGTATCCTATCATTACCTTGGACCTCTTGTCCTGATCACTAATTTCGATTCCATCGCCTGCATAAGTATGGCATACCCCTGAAAAGAAAATCATTCTACCATTGTTACATATTCTCTTTACAAATTTACGCACACAATATTGAACAATATGAACATATCGGCATTAGTTAGGGGTTGGCTTAGACAAATTGTACCTTGGAACGGATGTAGAGGCATACAATGTAACAACTGTGTTTGATACATATATATCGACACAATGCCCAACAAATAGCAGCGTTCGAAATACCTGCCTGCCCTACAGCCCGGGACGGGATATTTTCAACACGGACTTTCACATTCTCAAATTCACCTGCCCCACGGTCGGGTTAAAATTTAGACATGTATATGAAGATATATCAGTATTAATTCACTCGTAAAAATAAATTGATGATAAACTACGTCGCTTGTATTATTTGCGGGAAGGTAAGTTTTGGTCAGGGCTGGCAAGTTTTACATCTAACCAGTCCTGTGGTCTGGCTGTTATTTTTGGGAGTTGCAAATAGTCATAGTCATTTCGGACAAAAAGTTATGAAGTCACAGTACAGTAATACTTACAACGGCGTTGAGGTGGGACATTGCTCTGCTCCTCTCAAGTTTCTTTCCTTTAAAGAAGAGCAGATGCCGCTCATACTCATTCGGTACTTCTGATGTTGTTTCTGTCGGATAATTGTACAATCATGGAACATCTTCTTCAATTACTTTTTCCACCTGAAGGTTCGAAAAGAAAATCTTGTTGCAAAGGTTATCCAGTGTGCATAAATACTAGTACTAGTACAATACTAAAGAAGAAAAGGTGATTAACATCAAAATCAACATCCAATCATTCCATTCATGTACATCCCCTAATTAGTAACTTACAGTTATGTCAGTATATATTTAAGCTGATGAAGTAGGTGAATATATTTCAATATTCATACCACGTTCCGGAATTGTGATCGCTCCACAGTCTTCAGCTCCTCCAGATCATCAGCAAGTATAGTCACCTGCTGATCACCGAACTCAGCCATGTCCACTACGGGAACCGCTAATTGTATTAAAGAAACATATTCATTAAAACAGTATGCTAACTCCATGGAATCTCTCAAACGTTAACCCCCCACCCCCCTCACACACATAGACACACCATTACTCTCTCTCGCTCTCTCAAACACACACACATACACACACTTGCCTCAATTTACCCTTTTCTGGGAAATGATATACCCACTTAAAGCTGTTCGTCTCGCTGTCGCCTTTTCCGCACATCCTTCGCTGAAATAGTAGTGAATTAGAATTAGTTCCTGGTACATCCAATGCTGCACAAGCTCACAGAGGTATTACAGTTCATTGGTTATAAATTATGCCTAAAACACAGTCGTAATGGTTAAGTGTTAATAACAGGCACTTTGAAAATGCTTTGGCAGCTTTCGTTTATAATTGTCACAAGTGAAAGGTAGCATACCGTTTCAGCTGAACCTCAGGAGACTGCTTCTAAATGGAACAGAAACGTGTTTTATTCATGCACAAACAAAAGAACACTGTATTCTTTTACCAAACATTCCATATTTTTAATATGCTCATCCATGCTCTAACCTCTTACAGTTACCGATATGTCATTGATTAGTTTCATGTACCCGTGAATGGATCTTCGCTGGCGTATGTCCGGGGTCGTCTTGTCCGTTTCAATGGCAGCGGTTGGTCAGCACACCCTGAATCGGAAAATCTTTTCTGATATAGAAACAAAACATACGTATTTCTATGGCTGTATATCATTACCACAATTATTACTTACAACTGATTACTGATTAAATTACGTCAGTTTCACATTCACTTATGAAGCCCGAAAATGTGCACATGAATACAACATACACAGTGATCGGAATCAGGCGCGTATCAAGTCAATTCTTTCGCGTAAACCCGATAGGTCGCGCAGCTTTATAGGTAGATAGTTTTGAGGGCTTGCCCAACTTTCATGGGGATCTTTACCAAAAATCATGTGTAAGCCCGGAGTTTGTTTAATGGTAGCTGCGCCCCTGGGAATATCATCATCGCAAAGTTGTGGAGATAAAGTGGCCTATTGACTTCCAAATAGCTAGATATTTCTCATGTTGGTATATTTGCTCTAGTGTAAAGACCATGCCATGTGGAACCATGTAGATGTGTGACATTGATTCATATAGTCAATGAGCCTTTATTAATAACTGGGTATATCTGTATCTGTTTAGTTACCGTTTCAGTTCTTTTCAATGGCCATATTTAGTTTAGCTGTTACATACACCTGTATCAATCTGGATTGTCAATCTTTCGATATAGCACTTTGTTATTAGAGCCACGTTTCTCATTCTGAATATAATACATGCAACTCTGCTAAACGTATTTCCACACTTCATGAAATGGAAAAATATGTATTTCAATCTAGGACACATATTATGTCTTACCGCCGGAACTTGCTCTCTCAGTCCGTATTTTCTTGGTACGTCATGTGTGGTATTCTGAAATGTAAAGCGTTTTCGTGCAAGCATGTGTAAATAAATACCTGTTCTATCAGAACGTGTATCTATCTATGTTCTATCAACGTCACAATCTTCCTGAATACCCAAATAGACGTACCTTCGGTTTCATATCCTTCCCTGCATTCAAAATTTCTTCAGCAATGAAAGAACGGCAACTGCTCGGGTCAACCTGCAAAAATGTCATAATTGCTTTTTAGACATACATATATGTCAGTTTGCTGGCTGTCCGTCAAAAGTAAAATACACTGTATGTTGAGCAGAAACAAATAATTGAACTATGGAAATGGGCAATACAAAGTAGTTGATATGGGCGAATACCATAATTGTCACGTCTACACCTGACGCATCCACCAATTTTACTGCGGTACTCTTTTTATGAACACGTGACCCTGTTCGTGTGCGTGGCTGTTTACGGTTGAAGCCACCAATTCCAATATCACAATGTAACACTACAAAGAGCTGTTTTGACACGAAATGTCCTGCAAAATGCATCGACACCAGCTGACCTTAGTCCCATCAGCTCTTGAAAGAAATCTTCGTGTCTTGAGAAGTCAACCCCAGAATGTTCAGCAGCTGGGTGCCATGTTGGTACAGCAATGGCGCAGGTTGCTAAAAGTTAGTTTCATGGATGTTAGGCAGTCGATGACACAACGTTGCCTAATCCTGTTTAAGTGTACGCTCATTACGTCCGTAAAATAGCCACATGTATCCGTTAACATCACACTTTGTTCTGTTTGGGTATGTTTGGGACATATAGTAACACATGTGAAGCTTGTTCTTTTTGTTCAGACCATTAGAGACAGAACACAAACGTCAAAAAGGTCACACCTTTTTGTCCTTCCTGCATTCGTTCCAAGCATACTGAAACAAGTAAACGATGCTCAGTGTGACCCTTACATTAGTAAGTATACTTTCATTTATGTAAAAATTTAAATATTTTCTGAATAAGTAAAAGTGAAATATGCAGCCATTAATTCAGTAAAACGTTTACAAAACCCTTTTCAACACATCACTGTACTCACTATGCACACGTAAACCCCACAGCTAGTATTGTCCTTCTGTGTTGTGTACCCATGACCGACTTCTACGTTAAAGTGTGTTGGGTCAATGGCATCATCCGGTACATTCTGAAGTCTGTATTCCATGTACTCCTTTCATAGAAACATACCAAAGCAATGAGAGTAGAACCCGACAGATAACTCAACAATGAATAGACATAGACTAGGAGGCGTGAAGGTAGTTACCCTCCGTATGTGTGAGTGCGTGCAAGTATAATGTCCTCGTAGGTGTCAGAACAGGGCATGTACTAAGTCAACAATCATACCTTGTGATGTTGACCACCTCTTCATCAAATGTCCGGTTCATGGGGTCATAGAAACGCATTTGTTTGGTTTGTACATCCAAAACCTGAGTTAGAAGAATAAGTGTTATATATTATATGGCGATACACCTGGCATTTCCCTTTCCCACTGAATAATACATTTGCTCCAAAATACAATATAAGGCTGCTGAAACGCCAGAAACACATCACTATTGGCGATAACCACAGATTACGACAAGTTACATTTAGTCATGACATCTGGATCAGACTCGGTGACAGGAAATCACAAAAGTTTAATCACTGCTGAAATTCAACACGCGTCCCAGACACATATAGCTTATAAGTCACCACTCTTACTGTCTTAAATACCCAGGAAATACCAATTACCAACAATGTCCAATGGCTGCCCTGTCTATGAATCGGTATAAGCACTTTTTCTGCGTCTGAGAGTTTTTCCTGAAATATAACGAATATTGTCTGTTACATTTGGAACAATATTCGTTCTGAGGTGCCATCTTCATAATGCAGTAGTATTTGCAACATAGCAGTTACATAGTGAACGAATCGCCATATTGTGGCATTACACAACAAACAAACAAACAAATTATAATGCGATCAACAATGAATTTGTTATATTCGTAGGAAATAATTCAATTCCATAATTAGTCATTGCCGACGTTTATCAACTGTTGCAGTGTATATTATCTCACAGGTATGTACTGTACTCAATATCAATTCATCACCTTTTGTAGAAGTGCCACTCTGTGACTCCTTCCCGACTTGAAATTTCGCCATCCCTCTATAACCTGAGTTGATAAAGCTACATTTCTTTCCTTACACTGAAGCAAATAACACGAAAAATAGAACATGTTATATACTAAAGGACGAATATTGTTTACCGTATGTAATTGTATACATAAATACAACATTCAGTCATATTGTATATTCTTTGAACAAACGAGTCGACATCTTGTCTTGTTGTTATTTCTAAATTGCCTTGTAGGTTAAAAATCCTTCCACCCACCTCTCGTCCTTGACACAGCACATACAGGAAGGCATGTATTATCTGCAAAAGAAACGTATTTACTATTATTGTTACTTGTTTTTTCTCTTTTTATCAGCGTGTAACAAACCGCTTATACTGTCTTTTACACATACCTGATCATTCACCCAGCCAACCATCCATCTCATCTCTTTCTCTATTTTGTCTCTCATTTGGTCTTCGGTTTCTTTCGGAAGCCTTGGTGCTATCGTCAGGATATCCAGTTTTGAAACTCTATAGGGACCTATGGACACGACTATGTCGTCCAGTTGTCTGTTATCATTGCAGATATCTTGAAACTGAAAATAATTACATTAAAGCTATTATGAAAACAACGGTATAGCTGCATCAGGCAAGGTTAGGTCCCCAATGTATTCTGTACTTCACATTATGTATTTTTAAGTCACAAGTGTACCGCACTGTAACCATTAAATCATTGCATCATCTCTACGATGCGATACATTGAATCATCCTCACCACATCAAGTTTAGTTGATGTTGATTCTGCTGAATTTGCTTGTTCTTGGATACACTCCAGCTGACCTAACATGACAATATGACGAATTGTTAGAGTACGTGCTTACTAAAATGACATATACGTAAAACGTTTGTATATTTTTACACAGGTATATCCATTCCGTGGTATGCAATTGGTGCACCACGCCCTTTTCTATGAAACATGAACCGAACACTATTCAGGACACTAACGGACAATTGTATGAGTTCTGGGTAATGCTCCGCGACCTGCATTATTGCTGAAAACGATGTTACTTATTTCAAACTGCTGAGTACCACTGTATGAGTTAGTGAGCAATCTGTGAATTGTTTACCTTTGCAATATCTCTTTAAGCGTATTCAGCGTATTTCACCGCAATTCCTGCATAAACGGACAACAACTGACCACGGCTATCCGAGAACACAGTACCATTGGGTGTTAAAGACGAACAAGTGGTGCTGGTTCAAGAAAATATTCGACATTGTATGAACAGTATTACCGCAGTTTGTCGTACGACACGAATGCAATGCCTATGGTGTGGGACTTTGTTATGATATCAACACCCTGATTTCAACTACAGGCCACCGGGGTCTGTAATGGGTATTGGTCACCCCAGTGCGAGAACAAAATGTGTTACATATGTGAGCAAGTATTTGGTATTGAATACATCACTTTCTGGAATAAGAAATCTATATCAATGACAATATTGAATACGGAATACTTTCCATCACGCTGGAGATCGAGACTCTGGTAATGCGCTTCATGATAGTGACCTAACATGATAGCTGCTCCTGGTCCACCGCTTATCATGACAACATTATTGTCTGACGCGGTTCCATCTTCAGAACTTGTGAAAACAGCAATGTCTTTTTTCAGAAGCTGCGACGTTCTCTGTACCACAAGGTGATCAGCGTATTCACCCGATTTAGCAATGGACTCCAAGTAAACGTTCCAGGTTTTGTGCCGTTGTACATCGACAAAACTGGATAGGTGTGCGCCCCCTTCCTGTGGTAAATAAATTGATATATAAGAAAAACTAGTATAACACAAAAATACTCTGTGTGTGTGTGTGTGTGTGTGTGTGTGTGAGTGCGCGCGCGCGTATTTGAAACCTAAGTTACATTCAGAAGTAGATATTTGTGCGGATATATATCACTGCAAGCACTTACATAAGGATACCTCCGTAAGCTGTTAGCAACTGCCATTCTTAATCCCATGTGATCAAATTCTGATCTGCCATCCAAGCGTTGTAGCTGATCTACAACTGCATGGAAGAAGCAGTTGCCATCTCCGGGAGTCCTCCGTCGGAAACACAGTCCGTGTTCCGATACCGAGGCCTGTAAACGCTCTGACGTCCCTGGGCGATGTCGTCTTGCGTTTAATCGACTTGCCTCTTGCAGAGCTACCCGGAGCTGTTCCAAGGTAACCTTGTGATCTGTGTCATACAAAGTACAGTCAAAACAAGGAAATATATCTCTCAGTGTAAGAGAGGGTATCCATTCTATGTCCATGTCTGAATTGGTGCTGTAAAATGGGCCATAGCGAGGGTATCCCGATCTATCAATGTATGTAACAGATACAACAATGTTACTTACATTTGAGCGATGCCTTTCTGCGCTCCTGTTTGTCTTCATGCATCGTGGAACGGTCTGCTTTCTCTGTACAAAAACATCGACAATCAGCCTCGATTATTAGACTTAGCATATTACTTCGGTGATAACAATGACAATGAAAATACTAGTTTCTTACAATGCATGCTTAATTACGCTGCATGTTAAGTATATGAACACACACGGTAGAATAGAACTGTATCAATTTACCTTTGGTTGCATTGTCAAACAGAGAGAGAGGGAGAGAGAGAGAGAGACAGACAGACAGACAGACACACACACACATATGAATACATCCATACATACACAAGAAACACTGATTATTACAATATCAATCGATCAGACGCTGAATTTCAGTTCAATAAACATATTCTATAATCAGTTCACATCAGGTCATTTACCTGAAAGGTGCAGGCGGCCAAACGTGTCGTGTCGAATTTCACAACACAGAATGTCATTTTTCAGTTGTCCTTCGAATGCGGCGGTCATTTCTTCTTTGTTTGTTGATTGTGAAAATGTAACAGCAGTCGAAGGACAAACATATAATTCCCTGGCGACATCACATCCAGGAAGTAGTTGTTCCATTTCACCTTCCTGTGCATTTGCTCTTCTACTTGCGAATTAATTCTGCCTTTCATTTCGGGAACAAACAAAATACGTCTGAGCAGTTCTTCTGATTTCGTGTTCCCTTCGTGAAATCGATCAAGCAAACAGAATGTTTCACTTGATGGCAGGACATGCGCATCGGAGTCCAGAGCATTTAGTGTAGCTACTGTCAGCCATTCCTCCATGTGAGGTATGCTCTTAGAAAAGTTTCCGTCCTTCGCCTTTTGTATGTTCCCAGGAGTTGCTTCAGCCAAACGTCCATATTTCAAGCTATTTCTGTAGTGACCCTTTGCATAGAGAACCCCCCCATGATGTAGGATACCTATGTAGCCTTGAAGAGGGGGTAGTTAGTGACTTGTATTACTTGATTAGATGGCCAAATGGTTAAGAAAGATGAAAAAATGCCCCGCTTATTTCCAACTCGTATTTTCAAGTATTTCCATCCAAAAATGCCCCTTGCTCCCAAATGTGCCGTCCATATTTCAAGCTATTTCTATAGTGACGTTTTGCATAGAGACCCCCCTTGATGTAGGGTACCTATGTAGCCTTGAAGAGGGGGTAGTTAGTGACTTGTATTACTTGATTAGATGGCCAAATGGTTAAGAAAGATGAAAACCTTATTTCCAACTCGTATTTTCAAGTATTTCCATCCAAAAAATGCCCCGCTCTCAAATGTGCCGTCCATATTTCAAGCTATTTCTATAGTGACGCTTTGCATAGAGAACCCCCCCCTGATGTAGTGTACCTATCTAGCCTTGAAGAGGGGATAGCCAGTGACTTGTATTACTTGATTAGATGGCGGAATGGTTGGGGAAGACGAAAATGTTATTTCCAACCCGTATTTTCAAGTATTTCCATACAATAAATGCCCCGCTCTGAAATGTGCCGTCCATATTTCAAGCTATTTCTATAGTGACGCTTTGCATAGAGAACCCCCCCCATGATGTAGGGTACCTATGTAGCCTTGAAGAGGGGGTAGCCAGTGACTTGTATTACTTGATTAGATGGCGGAATGGTTAAGGAAGACGAAAATGTTATTTCCAACCCGTATTTTCAAGTATTTCCATACAATATATGCCCCGTTCTCAAATGTGCCGTCCATATTTCAAGCTATTTCTATAGTGACGCTTTGCATAGAGAACCCCCCATGATGTAAGGTACCTATGTAGCCTTGAAGAGGGGGTAGCCAGTGACTTGTATTACTTGATTAGATGGCCAAATGGTTGAAGAAGACGATAATGTTATTTCCAACCCGTATTTTCAAGTATTTCCATACAATATATGCCCCGCTCCCAAATGTGCCGTCCATATTTCAAGCTATTTCTATAGTGACGCTTTGCATAGAGAACCCCCATGATGTAGTGTACCTATGTAGCCTTGAAGAGGGGGTAGCCAGTGACTTGTATTACTTGATTAGATGGCGGAATGGTTGGGGAAGACGAAAATGTTATTTCCAACCCGTATTTTCAAGTATTTCCATCCAAAAAATGCCCCGCTCCCAAATGTGCCGTCCATATTTCAAGCTATTTCTATAGTGACGCTTTGCATAGAGAACCCCCATGATGTAGTGTACCTATGTAGCCTTGAAGAGGGGGTAGCCAGTGACTTGTATTACTTGATTAGATGGCGGAATGGTTAAGGAAGACGAAAATGTTATTTCCAACCCGTATTTTCA